GTAAGGAAGAATTCGGCCAGCCCTCTCCGGCCACCAGCACCTCCCTTCCCCCGTGTGTGTGTCCTCTCCTCCTCCTGTGCCCCGGGCCTGCTCCTCCGAGCCGCCGCCGCTGCTGCCTCCTCCTCCTCCTGCCCGCGCGGGGCGGCCGGGCTCAGCCTGTGCAGCCTCGCCCTGCACTGAGTGCCCGTTAGTGTCTCACTAAGTAACCGTGAGTGAAACCTTCATCATCTCTCCTCACTGAGGGACCCGACCCTCCTCCTCACCGAGCCGCCCCCAGAGCGGCTGTGCGCGCCGCCGCCACCTCCTCCTCCTCCCTCCGCACCACGGGCAGCGGCAGTGTCCTGCCTTCTTCCACCTCCCTCCTCCTCCTCACCACACCACAGCCAGCACAATGGCCTTTGAAAGCCTGTTCTCCAAACCCCCAAACCCAGTTCTTGACCCAAACATGCCCGACTCTGACAGGCAACATGCAGGGGACGAAAGGTCGAGTAACATTCTTCTCTCTCTCCGCTTCTCATAATGGTGATACTAGTGGGGTGATGCTGATGCTGATAATGATGATGATGATGATGCTGTCTGTTAATGTGCCGCATTATTAGTAGGGTTTTATTTTCTGGAAATGCATGCGTTTTACATCTTCATTTATTTATTCTGGCTGGGAAGGGGGACTGTTTTCCATTTCTTTCCATAAATTGCACTTTCCAGCGGGTGTCTGTTGAATGTCACCATTGTTCTTTTCTCCCTTGCCCTGGCGCTGCTAGTCAGGTAGGAAAGGGTGCTTTGAGTTGTGGGGTTTTTTTGTTGTTGTTTTTGTTCATATGAGAATCTCTCACTAGATCCATATTTAACGTCATTTTCTTGCCAGATTACACCTTGCCCATTTAACTGGATCTTTTTTTATGCAGATTAAGGTCTGACTGACGTTATCTTTGCCACCTCTCAATCCCCATGCGCAGAAAACCAGAGTCCTGTTCCTGGTGAAAGGACCTCTGTTCCTCCCTCCCTTTCTCTCCTGCAGCTGCTGGAAATTCAAATCCTTTCTCCAGGCAGCCCTGGCCTTCCTAACTAGCTCCAAAAATACTGTGCCAGGGGGACAGCTACCCCTCCTTCAGTCTACATCTACTCAGAGCATTTGTGACACAACTGCAGGAGTTAAAAATGCTGGTTTTCGACAGCTGGGCTTCAGTCTGTCCTCCCCACACAGCTCCACCACCCTGCTTGCTACTTGCTGCAGAGGACTGAAAAACACTGAGGAAAAAAAAAAAAAAAAGAGAGGGGGGTGCTGTTGAGTGAACGTAACCGCTTCCTCACCGGAGAAAGAGTCACTAATTCTGTGTTAGAAATTGGGAAGTGGAGGGCCGCACGAGCTGGCTGACTGGTCCAAAAATTGTACTGGGATTTAGTAACAGGTTCAGGGCAGACCCCAGAGCTGCTGATTCTTCTTTTCACCTTCCTGCTTTTAATTGTGAAATAGTGTAAGTTGTGTCATGCTGTACGTTCCAAAAAGAGCGCTGTGTGAAAAGCAAACTAGTAATCCACTGGCATGGCTGAAGGCAGGGCATAACTACCTACTGAAACTGCAGCAGTAGGAGGCAAAGTGTGTTAGGAGTTCCTGGAGTTAGTGAGTCTGTGACTTTTTACTGTTTCAGGGCTTGAAAATACCTCGTGTTTTAAAGTCCTCCTTGAGGACAAGCCCAAGTTACCCACTGTTCTGCTGGAAGCATAGTTTTTCTAACTTGGAGTTACTCATGCGATGTTGACAAGTAGAGTTCCTCTAACCTGCTGTTCTCACCAGTATGCCTGTTGTTACACTGGTAAATTATGAAATAGAATAAATAAGTACTACCTAGTAGTCTATAATGTACTTTTAATACAGGTTACTTTATAAACATGGCTCTATAACGTTTTAATTTCAGAAGAGTGGAAGACTCTAGCAATAAACACATTTACCTGTTAAGTAATACTTTTTGGAAACAAGACTTCTATAAAACTTCTGCTCCCCTCTGATCTGAGGCATGTAAAGTGTATTCTGAATACACCTAGAGCGTTGTTAAAATTAAAAAAGCCCCAAATATAAGTCTTTGTATTATATCAGGTATGCAAATGTAATCCTGTCAAAATGTAGTATTTTAATTTTCTGAGGTTTATAAAGATTTCCCTACCAGCTGGCGACTGGGAAGGCCTAAAGAGAAACGGGGTCTTTCCCGTCCACAGAAAACATGGTTGACTCGCCAAGGGGAGGGGCAGCACAGCTTTAACTGTGAACGATTTTTAGTCTGAATTGGTTTTGTCCAGTCTCCGTTGTTGTCGTCAGTTGAAAAGCCCGTTGTAAGTTCTGTAGGAAAGATGCAAGAACCTGGTATGCTCGTATGCCGAGTTGCCTTGAAGTGGAATCTCACTAGAACACGAGTTCGGTATTTTAAAATTAACACGTCCAGTTTCAATACATTTTTGTCTTGCAGTCAATTTTTTTATTGCGTTGGTAGCTCAGTAGGACTAGTTTACAGTAGGTACAGCCCGTAACAGGAAGCTGCTGAAATCATGTAAGGGTTGATGATCAATGTGTGCAGCATAAATTAATGGCATTTCCGTTAGCATTTAGTTAGTTTGGTTTTGAACCGATCTGTAGAATTATAAAGAAGTTGGTTAGTGGTTTTGAGCAGTAGAAAATAGTAAAAAACATTGTCCACACTTTGAATATTCTGAGTTGGAAGACTGTTTTAATGCAAAGTCTTTGTTTTCTTGCTTTATAGATGGGGCACCGGATTAAGTGAGGAAGGTTTCTCATTCTTTCAGTATTTTTAGTTACTCATTGCGGAGGCATTCTCTTCGATGAAGTATTTGAGACTTCCTATACACACAGATAACGGGTGTCTTTTTAAAGTTGTTCCTGTAAGTTTAGGTTTTTTGAAGGATTGCTTGTTATGTAGGTGATCTTTGATAGGGTAAGAAGGAAGTCTGAGAGTGCAGGCAACCTCCATTACAGCAAATAACTAACACAAATGTGTGTGAGCGGGCCAGTTACCGCTCTCTCCCGGAGGTCAGCGAGGTCTCATTACTTGTGATAGTTCGTGGTTGCCGTTACCATCGTCTGCAGGACTGGGCGCTTCATGTTTCTCTTAAACTCTTTATTTTGTAGGTATTGTCCCAGCTATAGATGAATGTACGTGGCTACGAGAACAGCTAAACAGTTGTCACAAATAGAAAAGAATCCAGTCCTCGCGCAGACTTTGATTTTCTGACAAATAGTGAGCAATTACTGGCTTGGGAAGGGCTTGTTCGCTACAGGTGGTTCTGCATTTGAAATCGGTGCCAGATTCACAATTGCCAGGAACTTTAGAAAAATAACTCTTGAGTTCATTTATTTTTAAAAATCTAGACCGTTAAGTTGGTGCTGGTACTCTCTGTTGGCTATCTCTGCTTTACTGTCATTTAATCTCCCGACTTGGAGGTTTCCTGTATCATTATCTGCTGTAAAAATAGCAGTGATCTAATGGTAGGTCTGAACATTGAGATGCTAACTCACAGATCAGAGGGAGGTGCAAGTAATGCTTCTGTAGCCAGCATGGTCTTAGGAGTTGCATTGCAAGTGTATCAGGCCCTTTTTTACGTGCTCGTGGTACAATAAAGGAAATTCTGCTTTAGAGACAGCTCTGTGACAGCCGCCCAAGTGGCCTGTGCAAAGTTTCTTTAGAAAATTGTCCTGGTTTTTGCAGAGGATGTTTGGAAACGCCACTTCAGAGCTGGGCTTGTCTGTTGCATTTGAGGTTCCTTTTCCCGAGAACCATGCTAATCCTCCTTGTACGCTTTTTCGTTATGTATTTGATATAATTTTTACAGTTTAAAAGGAAGTTGGTACAGCCATTTTCTTATTCAAGATAAAACTGATCTGAGTTTAGTGTAGCTAAAGTGTTTGATTATGCGAGTCTGCCCGCTTCTAGCTGTGGTGCTGCTCTTCCAAAGCCTCTCCTTCGCCCGCTCTGTCTGCCCGGTGCATGTCCAGATGAGCCAGGTGAATGGAGACTCCACCTAGCCACCCCTTTGTTTTTATTTTATTTTCCCAGTTTCCTCTTCCAGCTGTCTTAGGAGTTGCCCGCTCCCTTCCACCATACCAGTTTTGTGCAGTCCTGTCCTTGGCGAGCATGATTTACACTCTGCTGCTCGAACAGGTCTGTCTGGTTCACCGTAATGGAGACCTGCTCTGCTAAATTACAGCCAGTGGCAAGTAAGGGGGAAAACGCAAGTGATGGTTTGTAACCAAGACGAGTAAGAGCAAATTGAAATGTCTATTATACACCTTAGCTGTACGTTTTCTCCGTTAGTGCTTAGTCAACATTATATTGCGAGTGGCTTTGCCCGTGAAGCACCACAGCATTACAGATCAGGCAAGCATTTGTGGAGCAGAAGGGCTAAAGATCCGGTCTAATCCGCAGCTGCTGTTGTCCAGCCTGACTGCTCTCCCAGTCTCCCTTGCCATAAGGCTTCTGTCCGTCTTTAGTTAAACTTGACTACTTAAATGCATCTCTTTTATTTTACCTGGTGCTTCGATGCCCTCTGTCTCCATGTGCGTAATTTGGTTTGAAAACGTTTGCTTACAGCTGGGTTTAGAGACTTTTTTTTTTTTTTTCCAGTAATAGTTAATCACCAAAGAATGTGTTTGTGTTGAGTTGAAGTTGTGATCACTGAATGCAGCCTTGTAGCGATTTATTGTTTTCGAGTGTGATTTCAAAACTTACTTTGACATTAGGAAACTAGGAAGTGAAGAGATAATGACTCCCAAATATGCCCTGTGGGCAAACAAGGCTTGCATGCCATCCAGCAAACATTGCAGGAGTGGCAAAACCCCAGCCGGCTGACATAGCTGTTGCTCCTCATCCTCCTGGGCTGACCGGTGTGAATTTCTGTAATTTCTTCTACAGTACTAAACCCCAGAGACTGGCGGTGGTTGGGCGGCAGGGTGAGAAGGTGGGCTTTCCAAAAGTTGCTCGTTCGCCTCTGGTACCGCCATAGGAAGCTGGTTTTTGCTGCCTGCCTCACTTCTTTCTCCCATTTTACAGGAACACAGTATCTGTTAAAGCCATCCCTGGGGATGAAAGCAAAACAGAGGTTAAAAACCCCAAGCAATCTGGTCTGCAATTTTTCATGATGCAATTTCACTGCTTGGCTGTAGATTAAAATAACTTCGTATTTGCAGAGTGGTCAAAACTAATGGGCAGCTGAAAAGTGCTGTTAGGCAACCCGTGTAACACTGTCAAAGAAGCTAGAGCCAGTTCTAGTTAAGATGCTGGCTTGTTAGCTGCAGCAACAGCTTCTCGTTTTGTACTTTTCCTTATTCATTAGTAAATTTTGTAGCGTAGCAGCATGGTAAGACAAATCAATTTCGTGAATTTTAGCCCTCGAAGATCTTACTTTAGATGTGTAAACTTCCTCCCATTGCATTGCCTCTGAGTTACTGTGCTCTTCACAATTTTATAAAACCAAAA